ATATATATATATATATATAGTATATATATATATATATATATATATATATATATATTAGTATATATATATATTATTATTATTATTTATTATTATATATATATATATATATATATATATATATATATATTTGTGTTTGTGTTTTGTGTTTTGTGTTTAGTGTTCAGATATGACTATTGTGCTGTGTGTTTGTTGGTGAGGAATTACTCGAGAGTTTAGAATAGCAGAAAAATCTTGACTGGACACCGGGATGCTTTCAGGTGGGGATTGTGAATATAGTCTGAGATAAATGTAACGAGGCTCGCTACAAGGGTTGTGTGGACTTATTTGTAATGGATTGTTCATTAATAAAATACAAACTATAATATCTTCGTGTGTACGTATTATGAAAATCAATACTCTATACACTTGTAACGTATTTGTCTGTTAACCATTTGTAAATAGAATACCCAGTTACGCTCTTGCTCTACTTTCACGCTGCTGCGCTGCTTTTGTTGTGCCAGATGAAAGCATAGTATTTATAGCTGTTTTTGTTTATTTATTGTAGAAGGCTGTGTTTTGTATTTTTTGTGTGTATTGGCACACCCATACACATATAAATATCAATCCACTTATCTATACACATGTCTATACATTCACACTCACACAAATATTAACATAACTATCCGCAGACAAGTGCACATGTGTATTGACAAATGTATACATACTTATACCTCTTGGGATATACCTACAGATACATGTACTATTTACATAAATACCCGTACACGTACCTATTTAAACGCACATACACGTACCTATTCGAATACACATACACAGACAGTATTACCCACATACCCACATACCGATACACACCAACCATACATACCACATTCCCATACGCAAGGCACATACCCATACACACTGACACGAAATATATTTACATCCTGACAGCTAACCTCATATCGTTATGTTGCAACGCACCGTTAAATGTCAAAAATCAAACGTATACTTCCATTTCAGTGTTCCGTTTATAGTAGTAGGCCATATTTTAAAATTGTGTCCTGACGACACATTCTGATATCAAAATTGAGACTAAAATATTAAAAATTGGTACACTAACCAGGTCACAATATACAGGAAATATACCGTATTACGTTGCAACGCTAAAAATCAATCCGTTAAACTAAAAAGCTAACTTTTATATATGTGACGCCAAACGTTATGAGGATAGCCTGAAGGCCCGAGTCGGGCTCACAGTTCACAAGTTGTTATTTATATTATTTATGTCGAATTCCAACTAACAAAAACCCCCCCCCCCCCGTTTTATGTCAGTTCTATGTACTTTCATTGTGTGCAGGTATTTTGTGTTTGTTTTAAAACAAAGGTATTTCAAAGTTTAAACCGAAAGAAAAATGCACATTCAAGTTTTGAACGAGTAACTTTTCTTTTGTGACCCATAGCTTTTTATATTTGCTTTTAGCGAAAGTATTGAATATTAGGGTAGGGTATGTAACCTGATATATGCACCCTATATAACTACATAGGGCTACATGTAGTATAACAGTTGAGCGGAAACGCTTATTTATTCAATCTGAAAAAGGGGTTTCACGGGAAATGGCTCGAGGATAGCACGTTGAAACTTGAAACATTTGACGTTTTTAATGGAGTGTGTATGGAATTTGATGGAAGTACATAATATTGAAAATTTATTTTTATATTTTATTTACATCGTTTTATAGGTACTCACTGGCTCACTCGGCTAACCTCAGTCCTCATTGCGTTTCTCGTTTTAACGCAAAAAAATCAAAACAATATGCGTTTCCGTTCAAAGTTTATTCTAAATATAGTCCTATGGGTTTACAAATAGGTTTATTTTTTGAGGCGGCCTAACGTTCACGATTTGTCTTATTTTCAACTGTGTCAGCTGTGAATAGTTTTTAGATTATGCCTTTCGTGGCCCTGTTATTCAACGAAAGGTCAATTTTTTTATTTGCCCCCGATATACTTCAGAACGCTTTTTTCAACTTTTTTTTTTCGCGTTTAAAGTTTATGCACGGCCCTCTGAATTGAATCTCTTCTATAAATTTACGATTTGTCGTCGGAAGGAACCTGATTTCTCATTAGAATAAATATTTTTTATAAATTCCTCTATTGTCGATTTGACTTTCGCAGTTTTCAAAAATTTGTACCGATATTATATCTTTTTTATTTGGTCTTCAAAAACAAATTTGAAATATAGGAACTTAGTTACGGCCCGAAGTCGACGTTGAATTTCCCGAACAGGGACTAAAAATTTGACAGGAGGGGGATACGTTCTGGGTTGGTATACGACAACGACATACACCCCTGAAAAAAAGTCGTAGCGACATGTATGACATGTCGTTTGCCCAAATGTCGGCGTCGCTTACCAACACAGGATATGATATGGCTTTTTTTTGTTTGTTTGTTTTTTAAGAATCAAGTGGCGTGGTGTTGCCGTGTTAGTCGTTGTCCCTAACGCCTTCTTATTGGCTATTGACCATGAGGCCCGAACTCCGAAGTCAAGGAGGCAGTGAACGACTGAGCGAGTGTCAGTGAACGGTATGTATACACTATACAGCCTCAGGCCCTCAGGCCCAGGGCGCCATCCGCCGCCATCGTCAACGAACAATAAACAAATGCCATATATATAAATCCCAACCTGAATCCAATTTTTTTAAATAGAGGCAATATAGGGTTGAGATTACTAATATCGACACAGTAGACGCTTTCAAAAACAATAGTACGGATATATTGCAGTCTTGGTATACGCAAGTATGGCTTCAGGAAATGATGCCAACGATGTCTGCCTGCACGCAATGTTTCGCGAGCAGGTAGCCAGAACACCTGACAACATCGCACTTATCAGCAAAGACCGGTCCATAACTTATAAAGCCCTAGATGAAGCTTCTGACCGACTTGCTGCGTCACTAATAAGACATGGCGTGAAGAAGGACAGCTGTGTAGGTATCCTTATGGATCGATCCCTTGAATATGCTCTCACATATGTGGCTATATTGAAAGCTGGAGGTGCATACCTGGTTTTGGATCCCGCATATCCCGAGGATCTCTTAGCGAACGTACTGAAAAGTTCAAAGCCCACTGTTGTAGTATGCAAGCGCAACTTGGCTGGGAGACTGCCAGAGACAAGTCCCGTAATTGTACTGAAGACGAATCCGTTTGATGCCAAGAATTCTGTGGATCAGATCACTGAAGAGGTAGACATAATTGATTTGTATCCAATTGTGCTGCTTGCGGATAGTTCGATAGCTCTGCTCGCTACGCTACAGTTTACCGTGTTTGTTGATGGAGGTTTATATATATATATATATAT